AACCCCGGTAGGCCTCCGCCTTTAAAAGCCGTCGCCGTCCCATCAGATCGTCTCCGTTGCCATGAGTCAAAACGTTTCTCTCTCCTTTTTTTTGCAGAGGAGGGGATGGGACTCTTTGAATTGTTTGTCAACGACATGGATCCAGAGCTCATCAACATCCTGCCCAACTCCCCGACGACCTCGCCCGTCCACTCTCCGGGACACCACTACCACCACGGAGAGGCGGGCAAGGTCGGTCCGAACGAAGAGTCTGAAATGAATGTCGTTTTTCGTTTGAGGCCTTTTACAAAAAGACCGGGTCGACAAGTCTGAACTCTTGAGTATTTTCCCCCAAAACACAAGAGCTCAACGTCTACATACATACTCTCATGTCTGGGAAGTGGTTGAGATGGGAAATTCAGTTTTTCTGCTATTGTGCGTAGAACTAAGATTGTTCCAGAAGCTACATAACGACCTTTATCTGTTCCTAAATCAGTTTTTACCCGGGTTCTACAGAGATGGAGTACTCAGAAAAAAAAGTACTCAAGAGCAGCACTATGTCAGCATATTGTTACTGAGTAGCTACAGAAAGTGAGTTTTTCTTTTTTCCCCAAATTGAAGTGGTTGATGTCATCATTTCACACTGGGGAAAAAAAAAAGTGATTCGGTCCATTTTAAAAGCCTAAACTGACTCATTTCCATAATTACTTTAATGTGGTATCGTTTTGTGTTTTTTGCAGTAGAAAACTATCAGTATCTAGTAGCTGCCTCTGTGTTGATCCTGATGCTTCAGTAAAACTCTGAGCGCAGTGTGAGTCGATGTGTTGGTGTTTGTGCCGTCAGGGCCAGGGTGCGGATCGGATGGAGTCCCATGAGGAGGCGCTCAGCATCCTGCAGCAGCCCATGGCTCTGGGTTACTTCATCTCCACGGCGAAGGCGGGGCCGCTGCCCGACTGGTTCTGGTCCGCCTGTCCCGAAGCCCAGAATCAGTGTCCGCTCTTCCTCAAGGTACCGATGCTTACTTTAGTCTTTTCAGTGCAAATTAGGACTGCAGCTAGTGGTTATTGTAGAAATCAATTGTTCTGTCGATTATTTTGACGATTAATCGCATTTTTAAAAAATTGCCACAATTTGCAAAATTTTTATTTAACCTTTTTTTGTTTTCTTTTATCACAATATTCAAAACGCATTAAAATCAATTGCTAATTTGAACAAAAATGTTCTGTAGGTTTTTTTTTTAATCATAAATGCAAAATATATATATTTGTAAAATGTTGACTTCATTACTGCTCTGTGTTGTTTCAGCAAATGTCCATTTTTAGTCTGTATGCTTAAGGATTATTCAGTTACTCATTTAGTTGACGATTATTTTGATAACTTATTTATTGATTACTCTAAATTGTTTTTTTAAACATAAGTTCAGATGATCCTTTTAAATGTAAGAAGACATGAATGACTCACTTTGTACTTGCATCGTTTTCCCAGGCGTCTCTGCACCTGCACGTGTCTTCTGTCCAATCAGACGAGCTCCTGCACGGTAAACACTCCCACCCTCTGGATTCTAACTGCACCTCCGAGGTGCTCAGGTAGGAAACCAAACCTTAACCGTCTCTAAAGAAGAGCAATGAAATCAGTCACTCCTCAATATTTACATTTTTTGTTGTTTTTGTGTCTTTTTTAGATTTGTCCTGGAGCAGTACAACGCCCTCTCCTGGCTGACGTGCAACCCCGCCACCCAGGACCGGCGCTCGTGTCTGCCCGTTCACTTCGTGGTGCTCACACAGATCTACAACTTCATCATGAACATGCTCTGAAAGTCTTAATGAGATCAAACTGCTGATCTGAGGAATCACGAAGACAAACTCTGGATTTTATTTTATTTTTGTTCCTTTTTTTTTTTTTTTCTTTGCGCTCGTCACACTCCCGTCAGGAGCGAACGTGGCAAAGGCGCTCTCTTCTTCTTCCTCCTCATCCTCCCCTTCCTCCCGGTGTTCGTCTTTCTTCACACACCGACCTGGAAAAGTCCCGCCCCAATCAATCAAATGCCAAGAATCCAATTTTAGCATTTTGGATGATCGAGGGATGTTTCGTAAAGGAGGAAAAAAAACAACAAAAAAAATCCCAACAACTTCTTTTTAATGACAGTAGATTGCAATCTAAGAAATTTTATCTTAATAAAATGCCTGCATATATTATTTATTGTAAGTTTTTAAATGTGGAATTTTTAATGCTTAATATCTTTTATATATTACAAATCCTAGAGTGTGTGTACATCTCGCTGTAAAGGAATTGGTTTAAGAAGTGTAATTTTTTTCTCAATTGGAGGATGGAGAGAGAGAGAGAGAGAGACCTGTTACAGTGAATTTGCTGTAGATTGCTTTTAGAATCTTATTTTTTCAAAAGGGGGATACAGACCTTTTTATTGCCATGCTGTAAAAACGAAGTTAAAAACTGGCCTGGGCATTTTTTTTTTCTTTCCCCCACGTGTCCCACCCAGTGAGTGGATGAGACTTACCTCTCTGTCTGTCTGTCTCTCTCGCACAGTAACTCGATGAGCTCTGAAGAGGAATTAAAGGTACATTGTCAGATTATATATTTTATATAACAGATTTAGGTAATTGTGTGTGTATATGTGTACATATACCTGTGTGCCGCTACTGATGGTGCAGCTTCTGTTTTAGGAATAAAGTGCGTCTACCTTACACATTTTGTCACTTTGTCAACGTATTTTATCAGTGTCTTATAGGATGTAACGCGGCAAAAGTGGAACTGAAATGCGAGGTGGGAGTAAAATTTTTACGTCTTTTTTTTTTTTTTTTCCCACGAAACAAAAGACGTGGAAATGAGGCTCAGTTCAACCCAGAATTTTTTTTTTTTTTTTTTGGGGATAAAATATTGATCCCACAGTGAAACACAGCGGTAGTGACATTATCATCAGGGATGCTTATTTACAGCAGAGAGACTGGGACGATGGAAAGAGGTTGCAAAATATTTAGACCTAAACTGTCAGGGCCACAACTGATTGATTTAAGGGACACACTTTTCAGACTAATTTGCTAAAAAAAAAATTTTTAAAACGCATATAAAATTACACCCAAAATTAGTTTTGCCAATGACAGATTTTGATTTTCATTCAGTCAAAAAGATTCGTTAGCCACTTCTCACAAAATACAAATTTCACTTTGAAATAAAATAATTTGTTTTTATCAGAAAAGTAGGAAGATTAAATTATTTGCATCCTTCACTTAAATGAACAATTAGTATAACTGCTAATATTATATGCTTTCAGTGACATTGATGATGATCCAACCTGAACAGTGTGTTGAGTTGGAAGTTGTCTTTACCATAACCTTAATCCTCAACTCCATGAGATTAAACAGACATGCTGGCTGGATCACTGGAAATGGTTTATTACGATTATTATTTCCACTCAGAAGAGCCATATTGTAGGACTAAATGATAAATTTTAAACCAAATACCAAGTGTAGGCTTCCCAGTTCTACTTTGAAAACATAATTGCTAACTGAAAAAAAAAAAAAAAAATTCAAGAAAAGCACTGAATGCCCTAAATTTACATTTCTACGTTGACTGCATGTGTTGTATTGTTAAAAAGAAAAAGGAAACTATGAACTTGGTCATATTTTTAAGATCAAGCTATCTAAATATTTTCAGTAAAACGGTAAAAAAAATTACACTTTTCATGTATTGATGGCAGAATCAGTTGTATTATACGCCGAGAAGAAAACACACGAGAGGCTGACTTTGAAGCCCATTTACTTATTTCTTTCTTTTCCCCTGAGAAGCCGTTGAGGCCGGTCTACTGATCCCTGGCACCCGGTGGAGACGCGGCTTATCGCGGGTGAAGCTCAGTTCTCCGGGCGAACAGCGTGGCAGCCCTAACCCTGCCAACACTAACAGGATTGAGACGGTTGTGAGAATGGAATTAGCTAATCAAGGAGAACATGTCATCCCAAAGCCTCATCCAATCACCATCTTATGTTCCTCTTAATGGGATCCGGTTGAAGGGTGGCCCACGTCGTCTGAATCGGGGGCTTTAGGGGGGCCGCGTACGGGACACCAGTCCTGAGGCGGTACCCCACTGTTCGAGGAAACAAGATGTTTAAACGAGAAAACCCAAAGTCTGCGTCCGTTAGCGGGAGAGGAGGAACCCTTACTTTGATTAATGGCGGGCTTCCTGTTCAGCTTAACAGTGACCTCACATGATACCATTTGGCTCAGACGCATCCTGTTCTTTAAAAAACACAAAAATAAAAAACATCGTACTCTAGAATATTGTGATGAAAATAGGGCCTTATTAGCCAACTAAATCAAATTTGTTTTACAAAAAAACATACTGTCACCTTCCTAAAGTTGGATTTGTTTATTTTTTATTTTTTTGCCAAAACTTATGGCAAAAAAAGTTTTTTTTCTTTTTCCTTTTTTTTGTCAAAAAAAATGTGGGATGTGATGCTATTTTTGTTGGCTTTCAATAACTTACCTGGTCCTTTAATGTGTTCAAGTTCTCATATTCTATCTAAAAAATGACTAAAAAAATTAGTTATGTGCTAATGCTTGTCCTTCACAAGACATCGACATTAAATTTTTTTTCCCCCAAACTTGAAACAGGACGGATAGTATTGGGTTTTGCATTGCTATTACCTTTCAGCTAGAAGAAGAAAAAACATCTTGATGAAGAGAATCGAGATCCTTTCAAGGAAAATTCTCAACAGTAAATCATCAGTAATAATCAAAGAAAAACAATCAATGTTTCCAAAAATCATATCACCAAGTAAGATTAAAATTATGTTTGTTATGCCATTTAAAATCTTCAAACGTGTCTTAAACCATGGGTCTAGAGCTAAATGTATGTATATTTCATTCTCGTCTCAAATTGCTGCGTCTCCTCTTCCTCCTGGCTGCCACAGTAAGCCGTCTTCCCCCTAAACTCAATCAGAAAGATTTAGAGGGCTGATTAGATTAGCATAAGCAGCTGGGAGTAGTTAATGGTCTTTGCTGGTGTTGATAAGTAACACTGACTAATTGTCCCGGTCCAGCCGCAGAGAGCCACACCGGCTCACAGGAACAGACTGTGGCTTCTGAGACAAACAGCGCTGGAGCAGCGCCGTGTGTGAGATGCTGAGGCTCAGATGCGATGAAGAGAGCTGTTGGATGTTCTTCGCCAAGACATGGACTTTAACTGAAGGATGGGATTTGATTATACTTTAGCTTCCTGCTCAGGTAGGACTGAGATTTATGGCAGAAATATGTTTGTTTTCTAGATTTTCTGCCGACTTTATCACTAATTTTACCAGACCAGGTAAGGAAGATCAAGGTTTTGCACAGCAAAAATACAAAATTGTATGCTTGTTTACTTAAGTTCTTAGTCTTGAAATAAGACAAAAATAACTTAAAGCTTAACTTTTTGACAAGACAAATAAGCTTGTTTTAAGTCTGTATTTCTTGAACACAGTGGCTCCACTGGCAGATATTTTCACTTATTACAATATATATGCATTTTTTCACTATCTAGATTTATAGATTAAAAAAAAATCTGTTATTGGTCCCAACAATTATCGAAATCAAGAAACCTTTTAATTCTTTCCTGCACTAATCATTGTGACGTTAGGGATGAAATGTAGAAAACATTCAATGTGGAATCTTGATTTAATCTTGTCATGATTTAAAAATAAAAATAAAAAACAGGTGAGGATTTTAGATGAGTTTGTTTATGAGTAGTGCTTTGTCTCTGCTCCTTTATAGAAAAGTTTCCTTTAAAGAAAAGATTCATCTTTCATCTAGAGTCAGACAAAATTATTTGCAAGGATTGAAAAACTGAAAAACAAAGCTGTTTACTGTCATGCAGTAAATGCGTCATGGAGGACAATCTTAAATGCATTTCCAACCTGTTCACTTAAAAACTAAAATATCAGCAGTGATCTATCCTGTATTAAAGATGCTTTTGTTCATCAACCTTTGCAAGATTAGTAACTGTTTTTTTCTGAATGGAAAACTAAATTGTAACAGTAGAAATCTTGCAAGTTGGTACATTTGTTAAAAATGCATTACGGAAACCGTTTTTTTTTTTTTTTGATATTTCTGTTTTCTGTTATTTTTTCTGTTTTTTTTTTTTTTTTCAGGTCATGCGCAGCAGTTCTTTTATTTATATATCTACATACTCCCTCTAGCTCAGATTACAACAGACAAGATTAATTATGCAGTCGATACGCAGCTCTATGTTATGATGTCACCAGGTGACGTCTTTGAGTGGATGCTTGGAACAAATCGATGCACTGATGTGTCATTAGTTTCTTCAGATAAATAGAAACGAAACTCAAGTTATCTTTGGGCATGAAGAGGAATGATCTAGAGTAAATGCACAGCTGTAACAGGAAACTAGAGATCGGGCGGGAAATCGGTCAGGTCAGAGTCCAGGTGTTCTGACCTGAACCTTCAGAGCCACAAAGACAGTTGCAAAATCAGTCTTCCATCACCTGAGGAACATATCCAGGATTAGGGGACTAATGTCCCAGTAAAAGAAAGTAGAATCTAGAGAAACTCATCTACGCCTTTATCTTTAGTTTCCTTTATTATGTCACTGCACTGTACTCCTTTATATATATATATATATATATATATATATATATATATATATATATATATAAAAACACACTGCTCAAAAAAATAAAGGGAACACTCAAATAACACATCCTAGATCTGAATGAATAAAATATTCTCATTGAATACTTTGTTCTGTACAAAGTTGAATGTGCTGACAACAAAATCACACAAGAATCATCAATGGAAATCAAATTTATTAACCAATGGAGGCCTGGATTTGGAGCCACACACAAAATTAAAGTGAAATGTTCCTTTTATTTTTTTGAGCAGTGTATATATATATATATATATATATACACACACATTTTCATCATGTAGATCACTTTGAATCGCCTTAAACTTGTCACTGAAATGTGCAACACAAACTTCCCTTTCCATTAAACGAAACATTTTCACGCCCGTGACGACAAATATTTGCTAAACCGAGTCACCCCAACAAACAGCATCGGTATTCCAAACTAATCGCTAATCGGGTGTCCTTGGAGTGGATACATTCTAAACTTAATAAATGGATTGACTCTGATTAGCAGAACAGGATTACCATTTGTAATGCAATCTTCTGTAACGAGATACTGTGTTGTCAGGCAAAAAGTGGCTCCCGAAGACGCCCACATAAAAGTGACTGGATATAAAGCTGGTTTGTAGAATAATATTTGGATAATCGTTTTGTCTGCATCTCATATTTATTAGCGTCAACATGAATCTGCACGCCTTCGCGCCCCTCCCACCCAGACCCCCGGCCTATGCACCGATGGGATACCAGGGCAGAAATGTAAGAAGATAAATTTTTTTTTTCCATTTTTAAAAAAATTGGAAGACATATTTGATGGTCCTGTTTGTGTTTCGACCCAACGGCCACCGAAACTGGTCATCTTTTCTATCTTTCCAGTTCAGCCTGCAGCCTCCCGGACAAACACAGAAGCCGTACTTTGACAGTGCCTTTCACCGAGCAGCACAGAAGTCCTCCACATCCGCAGTGAGTCGAAGAAACTGGAATCAAAACTAATTTGTCAATACGCTACATATATTTTTGACACGTATTCAAAATGGATGTCGCATATGCACGTGTTGTACCTTTCAATACATTTTCAAGAACCACAGAACTTTTCTTTTCACTTCTTTTTTTTTTTACGTCAATAGCAGAAAGGTCAACAATTTCTAAACTTTGCTGCATTTTATTGGGATTTTTATGTTCAAGAGCAACACAAAATGGAGTATCACTAAGACTTTGAAGAAGAATTATGCATAGTTTTTTTTAATATAACATAAAATTTTAAAATGCTTTCCATGCTTGTGTGTGTTCAGTCTACTTTACATTAATACACCTGGGGGTGGGGGGAAGCGTATCAAATCAGATGTTTGCTGGAGAATATAAGGGTGGACCAAGAAACAGGCAAGTCAGAGAATAAGTAATAGACATTTAAGGTAGGGTCGAGTTATAAAACTACAGTTCAAATGTTTGAACATCTCACAGAGGACTTTTCAATGTATCATGCAAAAAAGAGAGAAAAAAGTATGCTGCAGCTGCTAGCCTAGGAAAGATGGCCGACCAACTCGAGTGACGTCCCAGGTAATCAAAACATTAATCGAAGAAGAACTCTAGCGAAGTGAGTCAGGGTTTGAAACTTATGTACAACATTCAAAATTCTTTATGTGGCATATTGAACTGTAGTAAACAACCTAAAACATGTTTACAGTCTCTCTCCCGAATGTGACCGAACTCTGAAAGAAACATAAATATAATATAATATTTTAAAACGTATTAATGATATGAACACTTTTGCGAGGCACTCTGTTAGTAGACCAAAGTCCATATTAAGAGTAAACATTAGGGTTAAATTGGTTAAAATAAAAATATATATGTTGATATATCTTTGATTTAAAGCTAGCATAGCAGTTAGCTAATTATTTTTTTCCCCAGATAAAAAGAAGAAGTTGTCTACACGTCGATATTGCATGGAGGATTTATTACCACAAACTAAAGGTATCTAACTTTATGTATTTTTCGAAATAAAAAACATACACAAGTGAAGTTTAAATTTCAACAAAATGCTGAACTGGTAACAAAATCACAGCTGAATTACAAATTAGTTTAAAAAAAACGGCAATGATTTTTTTTTATGCTTGGATGGCAAAAAAAGCAAACTTTTTTTTTTTTTTTTGATGGCCTTGACAGAAAATGCATCAGAAATCCCACAGTCTTCCTCAGGAGACGGTGATGAAATTTCCAGTCGCAAACCTGCTAGACTCAGAACAGTCTAAAGAACCCCAGCCCTCCTGCAGACGGCCATATTTAGGTGAGCTTAATCCTGAAATGCTCACTGCGACTGAAATTGTAGTTTTTAAAACGTACTCTTCTCCGTCTGCTTTTAGACTCTGCGTTTAGAAGCACAACAGGAAGAGAAAAAGCAATAAATGCCGGCCATAACCCGAGTGATCAACCAGAACCTCACCCATCATCTATACCTGCTTTCCACCCGAATGAGAAAGCAGATCTGGAGAGACCCAAGAGCTGCCAAACTAACCCGACGAGCGGCTCCCTCGACAGGAAGCGGCACCTGGAGGGCCGCAGCTCCGGCGGCGTGAAGAGGCTGACGCGGGAAACGGAAGACGAGCGGCTTGACCCGTCTTTATTCACCGCACCTTGTACAGACCCTTCCACACGCAGGATGCAGGCGCAGCCAACGAGCATCAGCAGGCTGTACGCGTCCTGTTGTTGCAGATGCGTCTCTTTCCCGGGTGCAGAGCTGCGTCCCTACCAAACTGCATCATGGGAGCAAAGGTGGAGCCACAGAGTGGATGTCCATCTGGGGCAGAAAGTCTTCAAAGAGTATATCTGTGAGCGGTTTCCGCCTACGTTGGCACCCCATGTTTATTCTTCTCCGGACTCTGTTTACCTTCCAGACCAGAACACGCTCCCGTCATTTCTGTCCCTGCTGTAGAGCATAACTCTCATTCTGGCTTTTTTTTTCCTCTGGACTTTTAAAAACCTGAGAGCCGATCGTTTCTACAACAGAGAATGCTTATAATCCTTAATCTGCTCTGTAAACGTTTTGATGACAAATGTCATTCCTCTAAAAACCAGGTTTCTACAAAGGTATATTAAGGCAATAGAGAGCCAAAAAAACTCACTTTTTTTTTTTTTTAATGGTCTCAGAAATTTTCTAGAAAAAGTTGGAAATTTGCTACAAAACAAACTTGGAAATTTCTGAGTTTCAAAAATTGAAAACTTTCAACCATTGAAATTTCCAAGTTTTTTTTCTAGAAAATTTCTAGTTTTTTTTTATTTTTTTAAGATCTACAATGGCCTTAATACGCCATCGTAGTTTCTTCAGTTTTAATTTGCTTTTAAAATATCACGCTTAAGTTGTAAATATACCCATGTACAACTGGCTAAGAACACAAATATAAACCAGGAATTCACATGCTTTGCATTTCTTGGGTTCTTTGTTTGTTTTTTTATTTGATGGAGTATGATTTTAACACAGATATTGTTTTGTTTTTTAAGCCCAACCACTCGGCTCACAAATCCCTCCTAGCATAAGGCAAAAACTAATGGAGAAACTAGCAAATATCAAAATGAAACCCTCAGACTTAAGAACCACTTTAAAAGATTAATGTAATTTTGCTACTTAACTGTAGCAAAATTTAAAGAAATTAGAAATGGCTTAAAACATTTGCACAGTTCAATAAATAAGTTCTCATCACAAATAAATTACCTCCTTAAGAAAAACTGAGTGTATTGAATTCATGTTTTTTAGTTGGAATCCAATTCTCACCTTACAAAAAGTAAAATATTTCAGTGCACCAGAGCAAAAATATATATAAAAAAAGCTTATGCTTGTATAAATATACCATATTTGACTATGATATGAAAAATAAAATCTTTAGATAAGCAAATATCTAAAGAATATATTCACATAGGTGCTTAACTATAGCAGTGCATTTTCCGGCATTTTTCATAGAAGCGCAACCTGACATCTGGACAATAAAAGTAGTTTTAAAATGGAATGGGTCACATTAGGGAAAAGCGCACAGGGCAGAAAGCTTCTACTAAAAATAAAACTGTCAGCTTTCTGCTGTCAGCTCCGAGGCTCAAAACAAAACAAAAACAAAACAAAAAAAAGCGGCGCTACATGAGACTTTCTCAGCTTGACATTTCCGAGCAATTAAACCACGTCCATCCCCAGACCCCTCGCGACTTCCGTCAGAGCCTGGACGGCACCGGAAGTACCGCAGCCATCCTGCGATATTCCTCCGGGCTCGTCGTCGATGTGAGGAATGGTCGTCATCATGCAGTAGACCGGGGAGTCTGCTCCTATGGGGCTGTGCTGGGACGACGCTTCCTCCCCTCCGGAGAGGTCTGAGGAACACGAGGAAGAGGAGCAGGAAGAGGGCGAGGAGGAACCGGCGGGGGAGCTGCGGCCGCTCTCTGGGGCGGCGGCGGCTTTCTTCTTCACGCTGCTGACTCTCTGACTTTGCCGAAGGTTCCGCGGCTTTTCGGCCATGTTCTTCATGATTTCCTTCGTCACCTCGACAGTCTCAAAGCGCACCATGTTTACTTTTAGGAAGCCGTCGACGTCCTTCCTGTATCTGTGTGCAAACCATGTTGTTGATTAGCCTAATTGTACTGTCTCTGCAGCAGCTTTTAAGCATTTTTAAGCATTATGTTAATATTTTTTTCCACATAGATTTTCTTTCATATTATACTGTAACAAGTGACAGTTTTAACAAAAAAAGAAGTTTATAGAAGCTACATACTGCAGCTTTAACAAATAATCTACTTTTTAACATTTGCAGTCTGAGCTGCTTTTCAAAGCCTGACTCGAGCTCAAACCTTTGGATTTTTTTTCACATTACAGTTTATTGCATCAGGATTTATCTGACAGAGCAAAAAATAATGCATAAAATCTTAGGTTAAAAGCGCCAGAAAACAAAAAAAAAAAAATCACATGTACAAACATTCCCTATAATAGAAAACAGTCACGGCAGAATCATGCAGTGGGCATGATTAAAGGCACATTCAACTAAATGTTGAATACCTGAAGCGTGAATGCCCAGAGGGCCACTTCAGCTCGTGCTTCTTTCGGAGGTGAAGCGTGAGCGTGTAACACCAGGAGAAGACCTTGTCACAGATGTGACACTTATACTTCGACATCCCGCCAGCCTGTTGGTCAAAAGTCAATCATTTTAATAAAATATCTTAAAAACGTGTCATTGTGTCAGCGGATCCACAGCTTATGAACGGTTGACGGACCTCGTGAACTCTCTTGAAGTGGTGGTTCATGGTTTGCAGCGTGTAGCAGGAATAATCGCAGCCCTGCACTGTGCAGTGATATACGGTACCCTCATTGTGAACATCTGTGTGCTTCTGGAGATCACGTTGGTTTTTAAACCTGTCATTTAAAAAATATATATATTAATACAGCTTTAAATATGAGCCTGGATTGGTTCGGAAACCGACCTTTTACAGCAAGAAATATCTGTGAAACATAAAACAGGCATGTTGGGACAAAAGACCTTCGTTATGCCTCTTTTCTGACTTACTTTCTGTAAAAAAAATAAAAAAAATAAAACTATCATTATATTGGCTCATAAAAAATTGTCTTCCTTGACTACAGTGTTGTTTTTATGATTGTTTTGAGAAAAAAGCAAAACTGACTTGGAAAAAAAAAAGAAATCTTCCCACAATACAAAGACGAGGATCAGTTTTGGACGTCTACCTTTTGTCGCAGAAGTCGCAGGGAAACGGTCGCTCGTCACAGTGGCGGAAGCGGATGTGGATCTTCAGAGCTGCTAACGTGGTGCAGGTCATATCGCAGAAGGGACACTTGACCTGATTCACTGCAAACCAAACAGACCCACAGTTTTTACAAACAATGCCCAGCAGGACTATTTAAGTCATGCTAACTGGGCCAAATGGGTTTTAAACTAAAATCCCCAAAAATGTTGTGATTTATTTTGTTTTTCTACCTACTCAGCAATACACTGTAAAAACTAACAATTTTATTTAAACTATTTTTTTTGTAGAAATAGGATCGCAGAATCAATACTTTGTCATGGAGAATTATTTTGGGCCCGATTGAAAAAAATTGAAAAAAATCATTTCGATTCTTCTCAGTAATAAAAACAAGATCTAGATCAGTCTTCACTTGAAAACACTTGCTGTATTTAGTCTTGTTTTAATACAGAATATTTGGGTGCACTGAGATTTACTTTAGGGTATAAGTTAATGAGAAGATGAGGTCCTTGTTACCATGACAATAGATGAAAACCAGAAAGCTTGGAGAACGTGATCACTTCATATTTCATCCATCAGTTTTCTCAGTAGACTTTGATGTAAAAGTCATAGTTTTGTTAATAAAGGTGCAGCAATAAATTTGAAAACATGATTACCATAAATGCAGTTACTGTGTGCAGCTTGATGATACAAATAATTCTCCATTATGTGACTGGTGTCACATAAAAAGCATATTACAAACAGAAATGTTTTTCACGATCAATATTTGTGTTTGTGGGACTATGATTGCTGTGTCACAGCCAGACAGTTGCCAAAAAAATAAGTAATAAATAGTTTTTATCGCCCCTTTTATTGTTATCACAACATACTAATACTGTGGTAAAGATTTTCTTTAATTCTCTACAGATTTATCTTTAAATCTATGTCACCCATCTCTATTTCGGTCTAAATTTAAACACCTATTTAGGAAAAACATTTCAAGTGTGATTCATCTCATAAACACAGACAGCAGAAAATAACCTTTATTTGGTAACAAACTGACGGCTGTTTTTTACCGTGCTGGCGAATGTGATCCCTCAGGAGCCTCTCACTGGGAAAAGCTTTGCCACAATGTTCACACACAAGGGATTCTGATTCAATTAGAGTTAAAAAAAAAAAATACATTAGCAAATACATAGCATCCCTAAAAACATTTCAATATCCCCTAAACAAAAAAACAAACAAACAGTGTGTCCCCACCTATGGGCTCAGCCTGCCTCTGGAGGTGGTCAAACAGCTTGGTGTTGCTGGAGAACATGCTGCCGCAGGTGGGACAGGCCACCAGTCGCTCCTGAGTGTGGCTCCGCATGTGCTCCCTCAGACGGTACCTGATCTTGAAGAAGGCGTCGCACCCTGGGACGAAACGATGAAGGGGCAGTTAGCGCGTTGACGTGGCAACATGGCAACCGACGAGGACTCCCCCCACCCCTGTCCTACCTGCCCAGCTGCAGAAGAGCGCCTGCTGCTGGGAAAGAGACTGCTGCTCGGCACTTTCTACGTGGTTGTCCACGTGGCGGTAGAACCACTCAGGATTGTTAAAAGTGCTCTGCAAATTGATTTTTAAAACGTACTCTTAATGATAATCAATAATCGTTAAACAAGCAGCGACTTCCACTGAGAAAAGACACCCACGTCGCAATGCTCCCACTGGCACACGTATCCCTCGGAGCCCTCTGGCACCAGGTTGTGGCTGTGCGCGCCCTGGTTGCAGCTGGGGAGGTCGGGACGGGACTTCAGCAGCTGCGAGCCAATGAACTTGAGTTTTCCATGGTAGTTGTGGAAATAGGCATGAACCTCCAGCTCTGTGGGGCTGCCCATGGAAAGGAACTCGCATCCGCTCCACAGACACGCAAACTCGTCTGCAATGAAACGGAGAGCAGCAATTAAAAAGGCGGCCTCAGTACAACATCTGTATGTTATGTTTCCCCCTTAAATATCACACTAATTAAAAGATACTAAAGGTATTGTGAATTTTTCATGCCTGTTATAAATTATCTCAAAAAAATGTCCTTATTTTTGATCTTTACATATTATGAAAAACAAATGAAAGGAGGTTATGGACAAAAAGGCCACATGTGTGTAAAAAAATGGAGTATTGCCAGGGGATAAACTGACTCATAAACAACCCAGATTCCCAAGGAACAGCTCTCCAAATAGCTCGCATATTTCTGCAACATGTGTTCCTTGTTTATTAAAGAAAATAATGTACCATTGGAACAAACTAATTCAACAGCATTCTCCTTTTGGAAATTCATTATATATATATATATATATATATATAAAACAAGCGAGACTCTACGTGTTCTTGATGTTTAATAAGTGTTTTGTAACATACAAGCTTATTTTTTTAATTGAAATACTAAAATAATTTCCCTTTTCGATTATACTCTTATTTATTTAGATGCAATAATCTCCCGAATCCCAACGACCAGTTTTAAGACAACTTCAACGCTAAATCCTTTCCTCTAACGAAGATGTTTCTAACATCCAGTTTCCTCCAAACGAACCCAGCTCCTCCAAGGCGTCCTTGTCTCCTAGATAATCCCTCAGATGCAGGGACATGTGGTCGCTCAGCTCCTCCATGCTGTGGCCCTTGAAGCTGCAGGAGTCCCACTCACAGTCCACCTCGAAGCTCTCCAGCCTCTTCGTTGTCATCATGATAAGTGATCAGTGCTCCTCCGACGCAGCTAAAAAACAACCAACCCCACCTTTATTTTTTTATTTTAACAATAAAAATCTCCAAAACCTTCGCTACGAAATTAATCCAACAGGAAATAAGTTGCTGTTTGAACCAATTATTAGTTACGTTTGGCTAACAGTTTCATAACCGTTGCTGAAGTTGGGATAAGTTAGCACATTTGTGTTTTTTTCTTAAAAAGACGCAAGGCATTTTTAATACAGTTTCACTCGCGTTATGAATACAGCGATAAAAACGTAAGGTTTTCTTATATTTTTACATAAATCTTCAGCAGCTCTTACTTCTCGGTTACTCCTTCTCCTTCCCTCCTTGCAGCTTGTCTGCTTTGTTTATTTCCTGTTTCGGCACGAAAACGGAAGTGGCTCTTCTTCGTCGCTCCCGCGGATTGAGTCAGGAGCATACCGCCAACTACTTTCCTCCATTATTAAATCACCCTAAATGTCACGCAGTGACATGGCACTTCTTTAAATGGAGAACTCAGGCCCCGTTTTCGTAGTTTTGACACTTTTATGATGTTAAAGTAAAATTCTTTTTTGCCAGTTCCTTCCACATGAAGCTAAATAACTTGTTTAGGTATGTATTATTTATGTCAGTTTTCACCTACCTTATTTAAATGTTGTATAATATTTAAACATAAAAATTTACCATTTCACATTTCAAACCTAAGAACATAAAAACAATACTATAATAATGTTTGCAAGAGTTCCACCACATCTTCTTTATTTATAGTTTTTAACCGAGTTCAGAAATTTCATATTTCTGGCACATTTAGGTTTTAAAGAATCTTGGACAATCTGTTTTTTCTGACAAGAAGTCGTTCTAACAATCTGGATTGGCCCAACCTCTCTGACTTGAAACTGGTAGAGAATTGTTGAAGGTGGCTGAAAATTAGCCCAATGGCATGAGGCCTAGATCTCAAAGATGATAAATCAAAATACTAGTGGAAATTTGGAAAAAGCTGGTCAGAAATTATAAGTTTGAAAGCTGTAAAATTAATAAAGACTGTAAATATGGAGAAGAATATACAGTATGTATAGCATACCACCTTTTAAAAAAATCAAAATAGAAATATATATTTTTTAAACATTTATACAGATTTTGATGTTTTTTAGTAATCTATTGTGAGATCCCCATCTGATTTAGTATAATAAATAAAATTCTTGTGCTGCATCAAACTTTTCAAGAGGTATGAATAACTTTATTGACCTGGCATAGGCACTTTAGTCATTTTAATGTGTTAATATGGATTTGACAAATTTCTAGAAACAATGAAGAACTTATTAGAAATATAACATTAAAGATAATTAAAAAAAGAAAAGAAACTCCTCTTTCAAATTGAAGCTGAAGATGTATATTTGAATCATCAATCTAATATTATAAAAATAAAAACTGGGCCCTAAAACTAGCTATAATCTTCTAAGGGCACCATATCCTCCAAAATCCAGCCCTGTTATGAAGATTTAGCTTCAAACATCACACATAACCTGTTTTCCAACTGACTGTCAAGCAGTAACAAAAAGGCAAATGTAAATTCAAAAAAGTAAACAATATATTCAAGAAAATTTTTAGTCTTTTTAATTACATTTTTCAGTATTAGGAGTTTTGGAGATTATAAAAAAATACACATAATCCACAGAAACCGAAGGAGTTGGTGAGTGAGCAATTCCACACATCTCCACTAGAGGTCAGGATTTGCTGGCATTAATACCACAAAAGAGAGCCTCATGAAGCAATGTAGCAGCTCAAAGTCCTCCAACCACATACAGATAGCGAGCAAACAGGTTTACTTAAAAGCTGTTTATGCTACAGCGCAATTATCCTTACTGACCAGTAGTTGCATTTGTATGTTAGTTCATAAACCATCTCTCATCTCTGACTGACCAGACATCCGGATGCTGTTTTCACATTCACAGGTCACACGGATTGGTTTCCTTCACATCGTGCATCCTGAACACTGTCGAAATAAGATGAAACCCTAACCAAGCAGACGAGAGCCATCACTCAGCTCATATTCAATATTTCATGGTGCTCTGCAAAAACAAGGCCCCGTAAGTGCTGAATTATTAATAGATCTTTTTTTTTTTTGTCTTGTCTGGATGGCTTGATCACAAAAATGTGACCACCAGCACGCAAAGAAAGGAAGAATATGATCTCCTTAAGGTTCTGTTTCAGGTCTTTTCGTTTTGTTGCTTGAACAAGTGACACTGCTTCAGCTTGTGATGGCTCAGGAGCTGGGATTACAACACATTTAGTTTTTGTTTTGTTTTTTCTAAAACCAAACAAACAAACAAACAAACAAAAGAAATATGTTAATATCTTTTCTTACCATTATTAAAGTAAAAATGGAAAATGCAATGAATAGAAGCCAAAGAAACGTCATGCTTGAAACTAGGTTTTCTAAAATATTTCCCCAAAACAAAACAATATAAAGTTTCTTTATGTGATTAAGATAAAGTACATTTTAATACAGATTCCAAATATATAAATGCTTTCTTTGGTATATATAGTGACCAAGCTATATTTTCTTGTCTTATGTTAACCCATGTCTGATTTTTTTTTTTTATGTCACATTTACGCATCTAGCAATAATTCAACAAGTCACACAACTGGAGTCTGCACCATTATTTTAATTCAGTTCATTCAGAGCAAGCTGAGGGTACAAGCACAAAAAAAGAAAAGAAAAAAATAGAGAATCACAACACATCTGCAGCCCGTATGACATCGTCACTTCCATCTGGTCTGAAGCTGCAGCGGTCCAAACCCCATGGCGTGAAGGATGAGAGAGGTAGCACCAAGGTGTTAATAGTGCAGAGCAGCACTTCTGGTGGTTGTGATCTGAGCGGGCAGCAGGCTTGAAGGAGATCAGACACAGAAACAAGCTTTCCAAATCACACACGCTCACAGAGAGAAGCAGAAACTTTCAGCAGCATTTCAAAGAGCTGAGCTTGAAGTCCTGGCCCATTCCTTGCCCTTAAACACCTGGAGAGATCGGCCTGTTCACCAAGATAGTTTCTTCCTTTTGAGACCTTTGTGCGGTGTTTTGAATTTTTTTTTTTCTGAATGAGCTCAACTATGTAATCACAACTTAGAGAAGTGTGTGGAGGCCAACGCCACAAAATATAGAGTTTTTTCAGAAACCAATCAAAGGAACCTGTTTGCATTTAGATCGAAAGAAACATTTTTCAGAGTGAAACCATAAATGCCGGTGTGGTTATTTTACAGCAGTACCAGCCACTAATCAATGAGATTACTAGTTAAATGTATGTCTCGTTGTGAACAGAATCTATTTCTACTCATGCATTATACTTGAAAAAGGTATCTCACCTATACATTTATCTTTAAAGGCTCCATTTACAAGCTAGAGTGCAACTGTGACCGCGTACAGTCTGCCACTCAACCAAAAGAAGGGTCTTGCATGCAAGCTGTAGCAATTACATTACAGTTAATTGAATTTCCCAACAACCAATTGGATTACGCCAGATATCACCCGGAACAATGAAATAAAAACCAGGACCAAACAGCGGAGGCACTGTTAGTAGGAAACCAGAAATAAACAGAGCTTTTCACAAAAAAACAAAACAAACAAAAAACAAAAAACACTCACGTGATACGTCTCGGAGAAAAAAAGGATCTCCTTGACGTAGTTTTTTTTAATACATTGATGTCAGTACTTAACTTAGTAATCATCCATTCAGAGAAAAGAAAGAAAACCCCTCTTAGACATATTTCAGTGCTGTGTAAAAGTCTTGAGCCATCCCTCATTTCATTACACCTTCGTCACACTGTTGCGTATATGCCTTGCATTTTAAAGCTGCATGAATATATGAATATATTTCAGTAAATAATGTTCACCTATCTGTGCATCTGATACTGTAGCACCCATCTCCAGCAAAGAGCCTGTCTCATAATTTTTGAATGCATCAAAATGATATGATACGTTATCTAAATTATATTTCATCTCATGCTATGACATGCAGACGCTCTGTCTGCGCCAACGAAGATGAATTGATTTTCGCATGCTCAGAGTTGGATCTGTTTTTCATTAGTTTGGCTTCGAATTATTAGGCTACTTAGAGGCACTCGTTTGGCGAGTAACGAGTGTTGGACTTTCAACCCAAGATGGTCAGTCAATCACTAAGTATGGTAAAAAAAAAAAAAAAGGTAAAAGGTAACTTGCAAACATACATGATAGGATAAGAAACAGCATGACAGCAGCTTTATATTTTGTTAGCATTGCACAAAACTTTCTTGAGTTCTTTAAGCAGGTTTGAGCAAACATTCTCCAGACTTTATATTCATCTTTTTCATCAATCAATGACTACCTTTTCATTTATTTTTTATGATACACCCTATACGTCACTGTTTGTTTTCAAACTGACCCACAGATCATGTAAGCATAAAAGAGTTCCCTAAGTTAGGCAGTTAACCTGTCTTGTGTTAACAAGTACCAGCCAGTGGAACAAAAATAACCGAGGCAAATCATTTTGTTTCTCTTTCCTTAGCTATGTTCACTGGCATACAGCTTTATGCAACAAAATCTGGGAATTTTGAAAATTTTGAAAATTAAACTAAAGGATTTACAAGTAAAAAAAAAAGACTAATAATTGAATAAAAAAGTGGCACTCAAGAAATAGGACTACTGAAAAAGGTGTGGTCCAACAAGGAGATCCTTGAAAAGTCTGGAGAAATATGGCTCGAAACCTACGCAAAAGTCGGGACTCTTTTAAGGCAAAACTTAAAAGTAACGAGGGCTAGCTCTGGGCTTTTGTCACAACACTGTACAAGCACACTTATGTCTCAATTTTTTTTTTCAGTTTAATGTCAAGTGGAACTCATATGTGCAAATTATGTGCTCAATAATAGAAAAGCGGTTCTGTGTGCCGGAATACAAAGGAGTCACAAACATTCACACGTTCACATACGGTTTACAGTAAAATTATTTGCATTATCCTAAAAGCTCAACGTCATTCAAACGTGATCCTACGTGTAAACCTGACAACAGGTGAGGAGATGAACAAAGGAGGAAGAAAATTATTTTCTCTGCGATGTCGTCACACCCTTAAAAAGCATACGAGTTGACCCCTTCCTAATGTTTGGCCTCAGCCAGTCTGTTGCTGATCTCTTTGCTCTTCTTCGTCACCGTTCCCTCTGGCGTGGCTTCGGGTGTGTTCGCAGATGGTTTCTTCTTGGCCAGGTGGGAACCAGGCATCTGCTTCTCCTTAGCTTTTTTCACCATCTTCCCAGTCGTTGTCGGCGCCTTTTTTGGTTTGGTGCGAGACGTTGGTTTGTCCACCTGGAAGAGAGAAGATGGGTTTAAAAAATAAATAAATAAATAAGAGGATAAAGCTCACAGCATTGACCTTTAGTCTGAAAAATTAAAAAGGGCTACGTTCACACGGCAGGTCTTGATCCTCCAATTTTTTTGTGGTCATTTCATATTATCGTGTAGTGTGTTCGCAATCAGACTTTCTGTGTGAACAGTTTACGACTCGAAATGCGCAAAAAAAAAATCGTAAACACCGTTTATGAAAATAATAATGGGTTTGTTGATCAATTTTGAAGTTGCTAAGTTATGGCAGTATTATCACAAGATCATAACAAGATGAAGGAATGCAATAGAAAAAAGGCCCAACTAATGTAGAGAAATCTGTTTGAATGTGTAGTCGGTGTAGTGGTGGGATTGTCATGTGATGCGCTTCACTGACAGACTTCTTTCATAATTTCACAATTTTAAGTCTCAGCCATTGTTTATGTCTGGATTTACCGCGTCTGACACCAAATCATGAAGCAGGCGTCACATCAATGACGTAAAAATTGCATAAAATACGACGTGGCCGTTCAGTCCGCAGTAGCTTTAGAAACTATAGAATATGGAAGTGGCACAAATTAGATTTTTTTTAGGGGGGGGAAAGATCGTAGTTGGGCTGTTCAGTCGGATATTTGCAAAACAATATTGGATTTGGGTTGAATTTGCCTGCTGTGTGAACGTAGCAGATGAAGTCTGGGTTTTGAACTGAAACTAGAGCCAGCTGCTGTTTATCTTAGCTTGGTATAATGGTTAAAAATGGACAACCGAATAATTACTGTCATGTAATAATTATAAAGAAAATTTGTTCAGATTCCACCTTGATTGTATTTTCAAGGTGGAAAATCTCAATAAAAGGACAACAGGCTTGAAATTTGGGGGATCCTGTCAATACTTTAAAATTTGTGTTGTTTTTAGCCGAACTCCTGTGCTGTTGCCTGGAAAATATTGGCCAATACAAGAATTGGACAATTTTTTTGTGACTTAGTTTTTACTATATTTGTTCCCTAAAGTAATAAATGTACTCAAATTAAAGTTGTAATTTTTTTTAAAATTTCAATGTGAGATTATCAAACTGCAAAAAACAAATAACTATAAGGCTTTTACCAAATAACAAGTAAAAAAGAAAACTCTGTAAGATATAGTTCTGTATTTAAAAAATGTGTTGAAATATTGATATCTAGTCTTATTTAAAAATTTAGATTGGTGATTTAATTTAAAAAAACATATTTAACTCATTAAACAATAGCAAAAAACTGTTAGGAAACCATGCCCCTAGTCTTAGCCCCTTTGGTTGAAAAAATTTCTGAGATTTTTCTTGTAGCCATCTTCCATTAGCCTTTTATTCTAAGATAACATGAAAACACAGACATGTCTGCATATACATTACTAAGTGAATGTTTGAGTACAGCAAGATATTCAGTTGCGGGCTTTAGCTTTACATTTAAAAAATTTTTTTGGGGGAAAAAAGACATTTTATTCTTCTTCCTAAAGATAAAAAAACAAACACTGAGCACAATATTCAAAATGTGCCTAAAACATTACTATTATTAGACTAAAAATCACATTTTTGCATGCAATACATACCTTTTTTTACCCTTCCTCTTAAAATAATGCCTCCTCACGGCATAGGTGATGTATATAAACATGTGGTTAGTGCAGTTATAAAGGAAAAAGCACAAAAAAGTATTTGTGCCTTTCTTCCTACATAATGGTGGTTCATGCAGTCTCTTTAAAAAAAAAAACAACAACCACTTTTTAATAAAACAACACATCAGAAATCTAATGTTAGTCTTATGGCTTTAAGGATGAAATACTTTAGTTCAGACACTGTTAGCGGTGGCAACATGTAGAGACCTAACAAGCAAGCTTGCAACTGCAGGTTGTTGGCTCAAATACAGACTTTGAAACGGTGAGAGCAGAGTGCTGCTGAAAGCGAGCCACTGAGCATAGTTCTGCTCTTTAGTAAAAAAAATAAATAAATAAAAACAGCACAGTGGAAGACCTTCCAGCTTCTACAAATGATCTCATATAAAGCAAAAAAGTTGCAAAACATGCTCAACTTTTGTTTGAAAAGTAAACTTAAACATCTAAATGATGACAGATGTCTTCTGGAAGGCTGCATCTGGTGGTAATAATGACGTGAATAAACAGAGGCTAGTGCAAATTACAGGCAACAAAGCTGCTAATCAGCCAACTGCAGATTAAAGATACGTTTCTCTATGAAAAGCTCAACAGCAATAATCTATTTCTATTGTAATGTTTACAATAGGAAATAAGAAAAAATGCTAAATTCAGCAGGGATTGTATATGTTTACTTAATGCTGCAGTAAAACAAAAATATGAATGTGTTTTTTACCTATTTGTCCAAACTGTCAACATTTCATAACTTTAATCTGTCACAGCATAGTATGAGATAGATGTGGTCCTACTGCTATCTGCAGCTAAGTGAGAGACAACCAATCAGAGCCAGGAGGAGGGTCGTAGCATAGCACAGCTAGGGTGTTAGCTAGCTGTGCAAGCTAGTTAGCATAGCCACAGATGAGTGTAGATAAACAGCTTTCCTGTTACGGTAAGTTGTTCCTCCGCCGTTAGCACAGCTGCAGCAAACCGGCAATCATGAGCAGCGCTTACACATGTGTGATTGACAGCGCTAAAACCCTCTTGCTCTTATTCCTATCTGTTACTCACTGAAGGTGTTGTATGTCTCACTTTTCTGCAAGTCATTTATGCTAAATCTCCTTCAGCAAATGTTTCACGTCCCATCGGGTCTACAGAGGTGGCCTGGGCGTGGCCGCCACAGAGGTGGGAGCAGAGTGAGCGTGTGTCTGAGAGTTCTCCAGCGGACTGGACTGGTGGCTAAATGTGTCTGAGGATCGCTAAGGCTGGGATGCATTCGGGGCGTGAGAATGTGCGTGAGCAGAATGCATGTCTGCATTCGTCTGATCAACCCGGGGGTCAGTCTCCATGCTTGTCTGGAAGAAACAGAGAACACACCTGACTACAGCAGGTGGAGAGCAGAGCTGCTCTCCGTCTCTGAGAGGTCCTAGGAGAACGAGAGAGGGAGCGGCCACGTGAACAAACCAGCGTTACACACAGGATGAAACCAGCTTTACGCGTGCTGTGCAAGAGTTTTGAGTCGACCCCTCTGTTTGGTCAGTTGATTTTTTTGGTTTATTTTAAAGTGGTATCAGTCAGCGTCTGCATGTGTGTGTGTGTGTTTCTGAAGGTCTTTTGGTTTTATTTGGATGTTTTTTCCCCTCATTTGTCCTTATCAGCTGTAATCTGATTCCTTTGACGTGAGATGTAAAGAAACGAGGGATGACTCAAGACTTTTGCACTGCATTGCACATCAGTGAGTGTGATATAGGAAAAAAAAATCCTCATATACAGCACCATTCCACTTACCTTAAAATAACATAATCCATATTTTACACTTATCCTCTTTATTTTGAGTGCATTTATTTAAAAAATCTCATATTATAAGCTTTTAACGTGTAGTCCATTTTGAAGTTAACCTTACAGGGCTTTTTACAGGACGTAGGTTTGTAACATGAGAAACGTTTAATTTCTTTGACTGATGAACCATTTCAGATTTTTTTTTCTGGCACAAGCCAAAAAACTTATATGAAACATTTGCAGGGATTTTCAAATAGTTCTTGATTTAATGCAGTCAAACAAGGTTCCAAGTGTCTGAGCTCTGACCACATATAATACAATTCTTCTCATAGACAATTTCTGACTTAGAAAGATTTGACCAACAAGAGTGTGTTCTCTGGTCTTGCCTGATTTGAAGAGTTGCTGAGAGAAATAGTCCTCTGTGTCATTTCTAACTTGTACCATTTGGAAAAAAGAAGTCGAGGGCTTCAAATGAACTCTAATCAATATTTATACATTTATCTTTATGGGATCGTCAACAGGGGAGTGTCGTAAACTTTTTTCTTGGAGTGGCCAGTCAGGGTTATGGACAATAGGAGAGTGGAACACAAATATTTAAATTTTATCTAAATTTCCCTAAGTGTTATTTTGCGATGAACAGCATGACACAACTGGAGGAAATTGTGTCCTTTAGTCTGAAAGCGAATCTATGTACACTACGAATAAAGTGGTTCTAGTGGGAGTAGGCAGTCAGATTTCAAGGGTAGATGATTTTTGTTTAACTATTCAATGTGATGTTTAGAAATTGTTGTAAAATATAAATCCAGTTTTAGGACATTTTTCATTTTTTTAATCAAAGGTGGAGATACGTATGGAAAGCAATGGGATTGTAATCCAAAGCATGGTTTGTGTTGTTGCAGTTAAACTGAATTGTCATTGTTTGATTTACTATTTCACCTTTTGTTTTAGCTATTCTGAAGCCTTGAAAAGCAACAATTGTTGGTACTTTGTATGGTTAGGAGTTTATGAATTGCATTGAAGCCACATTGCTTGCTGAATTGGATTGTTAAGGCTTTTGTCGACCTGTCATTAGGTCAAAGCATGAACATATTTCCTTTTGCAACCACAGGAAAAGACTTTAATGTGAGTAAGTCTGGCTACTTGGAGGACTGGTGGTCCGATTTTGCAGGTTTGGGGGTCTCTCACCTTGGCCGGCTCCTTGCCCGGCTCGCTGTACAGGCTGCGTATCCTCCGGCGCTCCAGCAGCTTGTTGTCAGTGGCCTGGGCCTTCACCTGCTCCCCCTTGTATGTGGCATTGTAGCTGGTTTCCAGGCTGGTCTCCTCTCCAGGTGGTTTATACTGGGAGGGAGCTTTGATCAGCTTTACTGGTTTTACATCCTTGTACGCCTTAAACTCGGTCCTAAGAAGAACAGCAAAATCAACTTTTATTAAGGCGTTTCTCAAAATGGAGCAGACGGGACGTGAAAACCGAACCAGTCGATGAAAGGAACTCCGTCATGAATTGGTAAAAAGTGCCTCCTCATCGTCGAGTAGATTTATGAGAGAGATACTAAACATTTAACTAATGTTTAACTGCAACTCAATGCTAATTGTTGTCCATTTACGAATAGAAATTACCTGTTATTAGGTTTTTTTCTTTTTATCTCTGCCTGCTTTCCCCTTAATGACCGGGTTTTTCATGGGATCAGTGATTATTGAGGCAAAACTGTAGAATTAAACATCTGGAAGTCAAAACGTTTTCCTGAAATGAATCTGAAAGTGAGTTAGGCATTATTAGAGGATGGCTTTTTTATACTAATCATCTTTTCTTTGGCTCAACTTGTTTTTATGTCAAACTAATCGATAGCATTGATTTCCTTTGGCAGGTTCTGATTGATGATTCAATAGTCCACTAGAATCATATTGCATTTTTCTGCTCGTGTAATGCATTAAAGCTGAAAATCCTCCTTTTTCATTTGGTAAACAGCATGTTTTATAATTAAAAAAAAAAACAAAAAAAAAAAACTTTTTTTTCTTTTGTGGTCAACCTTTGTTACATTTAATAAAACCAACACCGATCAGGTTGTACACCTTGAAAGAAAATTGGTCTGTTAAAATCGAACTTTAAAGGAAAATGAAAATTGATGCTGGTCAAAAGACTGATGGGTGCTTTTCAGCAAAAAATGTCACCCACACACTCGGTTGCCTTCAGACCCTCTTACTAACCTGATTCTCTCGGGGTCAAGAGCATTGATTAGGTAGTAATCCTGGGAAGTGTAAGGCGGTGGTGAAATCGATGATGAAACCCTTATCTGTTGATGTATCACTTGCTTTCTGGTTAGACTGAAATAGGATACATTGAAACACCAAATATATTTTCATGAGCTCCATGAAAAGATCATAAAAAGAAGTTTTTATGAAGATA